CAAATTATTAAATTAACAATAAAAAAAAAAAAAAAAAAAAAAAAAAAAGAAGAAAAACATCAAATTTTAATTATTCTCATAATCGCAAGAGAATTTTTCACCGAGTAAGAATCAAAACATATTTAACGAACATTTTGAAGAAATTTTCAAATTCTGCGAGTTTAATAGAATTACCCTGAAACTCAAACATCTAAAATTAATTTTGTTTTGAAAAAAAATGGTTTTTTTTTTTTTTTTTTTTATGTATTTTATATCTCTGTTTTCTTTTCAGATTTGGATTGCATACTATCCATAGTATACTCCCAGTATGTTATTACACCAATCAACAATACAGTCGGAGTGTACCTACATGAAGACGGACAAATAAAAGTATCCAATGATAAATGGACTTTTATTAGTTTATAAGATTTAGAATTAATCAAAAATACTATTTTAAATAATGATAAAATATTAGATAATATTTTAAACGCTTTAGAAGAAGATGCACCACGAATGATAGCTTTTAAGTCAGAAGTTAAAACGCATATAAGTCTTTTATTACAAATATCAAGATCAATTAATATAATGAAATAACGCGATACGAATAAGTATATTTATAGAGAAAAGCGTGGTATGTTTAATGGCATTGGGACAGTATGGAAATCAATAACCGGTAATTTAGATGCTTCTGATGGTGAATATTATAATGATTGTATAAATAAAATAACTAAAGATGAATATCAAATAGAAAACTTATTAAAAAATCAAATATCTGTAACGACATCTGTAATTAAGTTTTAATTCCACAATTCAAAAATTACAAATCGATGAAGAGACTTTTAATAATGATATAAAAGAAATAAGAAAATCAATAATGGACATTTCAGATCAAATTAAATTATTTCCAATCACAAATTGATATTTAAATATTTGTGAATCTCTTATGGAAAACTATACCTTTTTAGAAAATCAAATTGATATTATAAGTTATCTTTTGCAAGACTAAAAATATTGCATAGTTCTATAATTACTCCAAATGACTTGGTTGACTCGCTAAAGCATATATCTCAATCATTAAAGAGAAATAATCTTCCATTACCAATTTCTGCCACATCGATACCTCAGTGTCTAGATATTATTGAATTGAAAGCTTATCAGTTAGATTCTAAAGTAGTATTTGTTCTAAATATACCTTTAGTTGAACCTGAAGAGTATACTTTATATCGAATTTATCCAATTCCTTTGTTAGATCATCGTACAGCTTTACATCATATCTTAAGTACAACTTATAAATATATTGCGCGTAGCGATGATTCATTGCTGTACATAATAATTGAAGATCCAGAAGCTTGCAAATCAACAGGCAGAAAAACAAAAATTTGTTCAACATATTTCCATATCCAATCGATAGTGATGCTATATGTGAAGCTCAACTATTGAAGCAACAAGATCACCTGCCAAGAACCTGTCAATCTTCTTTGATCATGGCAAAAAAGAATACTTATAAACAAGATTAAATTTAAACTTTTGGTTAATAATTATCTCAGATCCTTTACCATTAACAATTAAATGTGGAAATAGAGACATTATTACAAAAATCTTAAATAATAATACTCTTTTTAAAGTTACAAAGTGAATGTATTGCTTTTGTTGGCAGTACAAGAATTCAAGGTCAAAAAGACATTAATGTTTATGATAATGTAACATACAATACTTTTCCAATTCAAATACCATATAGTTGTTGCAGTAATATTCCTGAGAAGATCAAGATTCCAAATCAGAAACCACTGAAATTGAGCAAACTGAATCTAGAAGATTTGAGTGTTGCAAATCACAAGTTAAATAAATATTTCGAACAATTGAACAATTTCATCAATGAACCTTTTGTGAAGAAACACCATGGTTGGTTTACAGTTTTAACCATAATTGTAATTATCACCTTGGTCCTGATTTACATCTTCTGCAAATGCAAATCCCGTATAAGATCACGAATTGGAATTGCAATTTCTCATGATGACTACCCACCATCACCTCCAAGAAATCAAGTTGAATCCACTTTCTCCAAATGGAAGAAAATACTGCCTCGTAGAAGACCCAGTATCCATTTAGAAGAACCTATTGAAGAAGAATCTTTTGAACTTAATCCTAACAAGAATTCAGTCTAAAAGTTATCTCCACGCGTTAACTTTTATCTAAAAGGGGGAGTTGTTATATTCATATTTAACCTTCAAATGACCTTATTTACTCTTGTATACTTATTTATTGTTATTCATTGTTTATTCCAAAGTTAAACGTATAAGTTCGTTCTAATATAACTCATAAACAATCATATTATAATGATTTTCTTAGATCTTTTCCAACTACGATGTTCCCATGGTCTCTTCAGTAAACAAGTCGCAGTTCCATGATGGGAAGCGAAGACTCAGCAACTTTAAGAATATTTAAGCCGATCTCTTTCCCAGGAGGAACAACTCGAACGCACAACGCATAACTCGAACAACTCTCGAACGCAACTGGTATCCGTGTCGTATCGAAGTTCATATAATTCATTTATTTTACTTTGTTAAATTTTAAAAGTTAATAAAGTGTTTTAAGTATTTTAATGTTTTTTTAAAATAATAAAAGTGAAAGATAAAATCTAACATATATGTCGATGTATATTTAAATTTAGTTTCATATGTACCTTTCTTATGTCCCATTTTAATTAAGTTTTTTTTATAAAAACAAAAACAGCACTGAACTGTCTGATTCATGTCTGACTGAACAGAACAATGAAGTGAAAATTTAAAATTTAAGGTTATGGTTCAATACAGTTGCAAAAAGGTAGTGACTCGACGTCCTACCAACGTAAGAATAAGGAAATCTAAACAACGTTGTAATTAGTAAAACAGACGACGTTTGCATAACGTTGGAACAGGTCCTGAAACTAACGTCGGAAAACTCTATATTGTCCAACGTTGTTAACTACGTTGTCCGAATCACCTAAAGATCATTTAAGCAAAAGGTTACAAGACAACGTTTATTCGACGTCGGCGTCGCAGAAGCTTCCTACTTTGCTGTAGTACTAGTCCAACGTCGGCACAACGTTATAAAAACGTTTAAATTTATTTTAATACCCAAGGTAGGGAGCTAACTATTTTTTGTAACTAATCCAACGTTGTGATTAGTAAACATATGGTCGCAAGTCGTGAAAATGCTACTTGGGGAAGTGCGCCTACCTTGTGATCTGAAGTTTGGTTGCCGACCGGGAGAAGATGTCGCTGGAGAAGATTATGTCCACACACTACGTCAAAGGATGGACGACATCCATCAGCGAGTTCGCCTAAATATTCAAAGCGCTAGTGACCGAATGAAGGAGCACTACGACATTCAAGCTGAGCATGAGAGATACCAACCAGGGAATTTGGTGTGGCTGGACAACCCGCAGAGACGTCGTGGATTATCTCCGAAGCTACAGTCCTCGTGGGAAGGCCCATACAAAGTCATGGATAGAATTAATGACGTCGTATACCGTATCAGAAAATTGCCAAAAGAAAAACCGAGGATAGTTCATTTTAACCGTTTGAGCCCCTACCAAGGCGAAATAGATCGTGCTGGGACCGTGAGAACCTGCAGCTTTGATCCCCCTGATTCGGAGGTGTCCATTGATAATTTCATGGCCCGATACAACAGCAGTGAGAAGGCTCGCTATGGTGTAACCAAAGAAGAACAACGAGACCTCTTTTCCGTGCCTCCTGATTATTCGCTCGCTCATTGTGTGGCCCGAGATGTTTGGGCGTGTCGGAGAACTACGCCGACAAGATCCAGAGGTTGGAAGCGTCTTGAGGCTAACCGACAATGCACATGGTCAAGCAAGACACATCTTCTACCTGGTCACCAAGGAATGGTCCCCGAGTAAGCCGACTTATCTCAATCTATGGAAGACCCTGATTGAACTGAGAGAAGCCCTGCTAAACAACAACATTGCACGATTAGCCATTTCGAAGCTGGCGTGTGGACTCGATGGTTTGAGTTGGCGTACAATCCGGAACATGATTGAAGTCTTGTTTAGATTTACGGGAATCGAGATTCTCGTTTGCTGCTATAACCCAAAGCTGAGATCGGGCGAGAAAACTGTAGACTGCTTTTTCTACCAGACTTCTCAATGTACCAGGGGCCAGCTTTGCAAATACCTTCATTCACCGTGTACATCTCGGGATGAGCATGTACCTAAGAAGGGGGCAGTGTTGCGGACCCGTACCGTATGAATTCGGCCTTAGGCTTGGCCACTCGGCTATGATATTTTTATTAGATAAATTGTAAATAAGTTATAAATAGTTCTTTAAGTTTTTTTAATCGTTATTGTTTGTTAATTAGTGTTAAATAAATTGTGCTTAAATAAATTGTGACTTTCTATCCACATGGAACCGACGAAAAACGTAACAATATGCTCACAAAATTTCATTTTAATACAAACGGTCGTTTGTATTAAAATGAAATTTTCTGAGCACAAGAATTTTATTGATATTAATTTGAAAATCTAACAGATACGTTCACAGCTTTGTTTTTTACCTAAATTAAGTTCTTTTTTTAAATGGTTTAATTATTTTTTAACTTGTTATAGTTTTTGTATATTTTATTTTGTAACTTAAAAATTAAACTTTAATAAAAAAAAACTATTGTGTTGGTAAAATGTTAATTGGCATTTACTTATTACATCTCCTTGTACTGACACCACGCTACGCCGCTGGTTTTGAGCAAAATCCTTGCAGATGGCACTTCCTGACCGTTCCCCTGACCGATTCTCAAAAACCAGCCAGAGGTAATATTGTAACTCCGCGGCCGTCAGCCCTAAGTCTAAATTGCAATGTAGTAATTGTAAATATAATAAGTGAAACCTTTCTGTTAATAAACCAAAAAATCACTAAGTTCTTTGTTCTTATGACATGCACAAACAAAAATTTTAAAAACATGCTAGTTAGTAGAAGATTAGTATCTACATATACACAATAAAACACATATTTGCAAAAAAAGCCACCAAAAGTATAAAAACTAGTAGGTATATTAAAGCATATTCATAATTATTATTAACTATTACAACACAAACACGCACATAAATTAATGTATATTAGTGAAATGAAATATGAAATGCACATTAAACTTTTTGCTTGTTAACTTTTATGGGAGTGGGATGTTCAGCAGGGAATACATTTGTTAAGGCCTAAAAAGAAAAATAATAAAAATAGTTAAATAAATAAAATTCAAAATAAAACACCATACAATCATTTTAATAAAGTTAACACGTTGGTTGCCAAGCACGAGTTAACTGGTTGGTTTTCTACCTTCAGACGCCAGCCACGAGTTTTGACCTTAGGTTAAGAATAAAAACAACTATTTTTCAACATCCAACATGAGTAAATTTGTGTTGAAATGTGTGGTGCTGGGCGTCTGCAATATACAAGAAAAATACATAGTTAGTTTATAAATTTATTCAAATAACATGTTTCTGAATAAATTAATTTAAATTTTGTAATAAGTAGTGTTTTTTGAGACAAAATTCCATGATATATTATGGAATATTAAAAATAGCAATTTGAAATACATTTTGACACATTATTGCAATTTTCATACCGTGACATCCAGTAGGGATACTCTAAAAATGGCATGGCAGTCAATGTGTTAACTGAAATCACTAACAATTAAAAACTAAGTATAAGAACATAAAGCATTTAATCATTTTGTCATTAATCATGCAATTGTGTGACGGTATAGGATAAGGTATTGAAAAGTCAAAAATATATTTATTTAAAATGTAATGATGACTTAAGTTACATAAAGTATAATTAAAATTACCATTGAATCCAACATCAGTATGTAATAAAACGTTATTAATACCATTTCTTAATTACTTTAATAAAATTAATGTTAATTAAATAATTATGTTAATTTTGAAATTACCTCTTCCACCTGTTCTTTAGTAAACATATGAAACAGATTCTTTGGAGTCATGGTCATCACTTCTACATTTGATGAATTCAACTTTTCTTCCATGACTTGCTTTAAAATCGTCAAAGCTGCAGTTGTAGCTTCTTCTAAAGTCATACTACGATGATACACTTCTTGAAGACTTTGCTGAGCACCTTCAGAACCTGACCCGATAGCTTTAGCATCAAATTGAACAAATGTACCTGAAGGGTCCATATGGTATAGTTGAGGTCCCTTTTCATCAATGCCAGCAAATAGTATCGCCACTCCAAAAGGTCTGGACATAGCTGCCCCATCATCATCTGAATCACCAAACTGAATTGCTAGATTAGAAACAGCTTGAGCACAAGATTCTACACTCATGTTTTCATTGTAGACAAACCAATGGTTCTGACATTCTACACGCGCTCTATAAATCAAATAATATAAATTAAAGCTTCAAAGGTCATAGATTAAAAGAATACCTATCGATCATTGTTCTTGAATCTGCCATAAGACCAGAAAATGCACACCCAATATGCTTATCCACTTCAACAATTTTTTCAATTGTTGTTGGCTCCATTAGAGGAGAAGTAATGCGTTTCTCAACTGCTAAAACAACTCCTTCGCTTGTAGATATTCCAATTGCTGTAGATCCTAATTTAATCGCTTCAATAGCATATTCAACTTGAAAAAGACGACCTTCTGGTGAAAATGTGTTAACACCACGATCATATTCACTTCTTGTTAAGAACATAGCTAAAAAAATGTACACAATGTTTATAATGAAGTAAATTGCATTAAATTATTTCAAGCGCTCGCGAATAATTAGTTTTTAATTAATTTTTAGAAACATTATATATCAGGCGTCTAAATGCAAAACCCAAGTCACACATTTTTGAAAACTGAGTTCTATACACCTTTTAATTCGTTATCACAAGAAAAACTCTCTGAATTACATTTTTATGCAAGATATTTGCATAAAATACTGCACTGGATAAATTCAGTACTTTAGATTTATTATTCTTTTTAATATTGATAATATTTTAAATAATTTTTTGTGTATTCTGTAAAATTTATTTCGATGGACTTGTCGGGTTTTGCATTTAGACGACTGGTTATATATTATGCAAATACACATTTTAAAAATACTTACTTTTTGCTTTTCAATTTAAAATAAAAAATAAATCAGTAATATGCAGTTTGAAATTTGCTTGGCAATAGAATAGAATCACAGCAAATCACAGAATAGAATCTAAATGCAAAGTCACTAAATGAGCTGTCAACTGTCACTCCATGTCTATATTTGACAACATTTAAACTTATGATCTATGGATGATCATATATAAACAGTTTTCATATTATTTAAAATATATAAAATCATTAGAATTTTCATTCTCTGGTTTCATTTAAGAATTCATGCCTTAATATTATAAAATAAAAATTAAACGGTAATGGTGTGGATCCGGTGGCTGACCTTGAAACGAGTTTTTGCTACATATAGTCACAGACACTACGCATGCGCATATCTACGATGTTGCCAGATTGCAAGTTATTTTGGAATTATTTTCAGTAGAAAACAAATATGTGCTTTTCAGTGTTTTTTGTCAATATATACCGTATAATCGAAAAAACGGTGTTCAGTTGGCTGAGAAATGACGATTGAAGATATTTCCCATATAAAATGACAGCAATCTTCATTACATTACATCGCTGACGCTATTTTTTTCAATCATAGTACGCGGTATATTATTTATATTATTATTTTAATATTTCGCACAACACGTGAACGCTTATTATGTATTTTCATAGTCAATACAATTAAATAGAAATAAAACTCTATATTCCTATAATTAATCTAATTGCTCTAGATTATTATGCTACGTTTAAAAAGGGCTTTATTAAAAATTCAGGAAATTAAAAGGGATGTGTCCAAGTTTTTTCTTTTTTTTAAATTTTTAAATGCTGTAGCTCCATGTCATTTTCATAATAGTTTTTTTTAACATTCCATCAAAACTACGGAGGCCTTTAAAAGGCCTTTTAGCCTCCGTAATTAAAATTGTAGAATCAGCTTCAGCAACATGAACAGTTACCTTGTTTAATTCTGCTTATACATATATTGCATTAATTTTTCTGCTACCTTAAGATTTCTCTATTCTTACACCTAATTTATGTGATTTTCTTAGCATATATGATTTATAAACCATATTTTTCCTAATGGAAGGATGGAATAGGATATGCAAAATTAAGATATTTTAACATTTATTTTCCAGACAAAGCATAATATAGTATTAAGATTAAGACATAACAAATATTATAAGAAAGATCTTAATATAAGTCACAAACTAACTAAAGCCCCGTTCTCAGAACTGCGTCGTGTCGACCTATGGTGTCGACAGCGACACTGATTGACACTTCAAACGACCAATGGGAGCTGTACTAAATTTAAAATTGACAGCTGTTTGAATTTTGTACAAATCTGATTGGTTCTTTTGTCGTGTCGCTGGCGACAGTCGCAGTTCTGAGAAAGGGGCTTTCCCCGTTCTCAGAACGACGTCGTGTCGCGGGCGACACAGTTTGACATTTCAAACAACCAATGGGAGCTGTACTAAATTTAAAATTGACAGCTGTTTGAATTTTGTACAAATCTGATTGGTTCTTTTGTCGTGTTGCTGGCGACAGTCGCAGTTGTCGTGTCGCCAGCGACACGACAAAAGAACCAATCTCTCTCATTGGTTGTTTGAAATGTCAAACTGTGTAGCCAGCGACACGACGCAGTTCTGAGAACGGGGCTTTGATTTGGATTGACACTTCAAACGACCAATGGGAGCTGTACTAAATTTAAAATTGACAGCTGTTTGAATTTTGTACAAATCTGATTGGTTCTTTTATCGTGTCGCTGGCGACAGTCGCAGTTCTGAGAACGGGGCTTTAAGCCTCGTTCTCAGAACAGCGAGTGTCGCCAGCGACACGTCAAGAGAACCAATCAGATTTGTACAAAATTCAAACAGCTGTTTGAATTTTGTACAAATCTCATTGGTCCTCTTGACGTGTCGCTGGCGACTGTCGCTGGCGACACGACAAAAGAACCAATCAGATTTGTACAAAATTGAAACAGCTGTCAATTTTAAATTTAGTACAGCTCCCATTGGTCGTTTGAAGTGTCAATCAGTGTCGCTGTCGACACGACGCAGTTCTGAGAACGGGGCTTAAGCCCCGTTCTCAGAACTGCGACTGTCGCCAGCGACACGACAAAAGAACCAATCAGATTTGTACAAAATTCAAACAGCTGTCAATTTTAAATTTAGTACAGCTCCCATTGGTTGTTTGAAATGTCAAACTGTGTCGCCCGCGACACGACGTTGGTTCTTTTGTCGCGTCGCTGGCGACAGTCGCAGTTCTGAAAACGGGGCTTTAGTCTTAATCATTGCCTGGAAACTTATACCAGTGCCTTCTATTAAAAGATCAGCCTCCGGGCGAGATTTATGACGTCACGCTACTTAGATATAACGGATTAATAAATATGTTGTAGAATACATGGAAAACATAATTATTCCTCAGATTTTTGGTTTGTATTTTAAAAATGATATATCTTGAAATATGATATAATGAACTAAATAAAATATACATAATATACAGTTAATAACTACAACATATATACCTATTTATAGTAATAAATACTTTGGCAAATAAACTATGAACCATACAAATGCAGCAAATGTTTTACAATGTACAAATAATGTATAGGTACATAAGATAATGGGTAAAATGTAAATATATTTTAAATTTTTGGGGTTTGAAAATCGATCTAATTTAACAAAAACATTTAATATCTACTAATAGTGATGTATTATTATTTGCATTCACAAAATTTATATGTATATTTTGCAAGTATCAATGTTCGAAAAATTATATTTACAAATAATACAATATTATCTAAAAAGGCGTCAGCGATGGTTATGAAATCAAGATCGCTGGCATTTTATATGTTAAATTATTCTAAAATTTTTGATTTTCTTGGGATTTTTAGGTTCGGGAAAAACGCTGATTAAGTTTTCATTTGGGTTTTCATTATTTTTATTTGGTTTAAAAAAAAACGTTTCGGCTAACTATAGCCTTCACAGTGTTGTGTCATATGAGAAAAATAGTGTCGAATATAATCCAAAAAATTACATATACAATATAATTCACACCTCATAATGTTTACTGCAATTAATAAACTAATATAAACTTATCAAAAGATGACCACATATTTTTTAAAATTATTATTCTTAACACTAAAATTATCTACATTGACTATGGAGTACGCAGTAAACATTATGTGCTTGGTGTGAATATTTTATATGCAATTTTTGGATTATATTCGACACTATTTTTTCATATGACACAACACTGATGGAGGCTATAATGTTAGCCGAACCGTTTTTTTTTAAACCAAATAAAAATAACGAAAAACCAAATGAAAAATCAATCAGCGTTTTTCCCGAACCTAAATTCCAAGAAAATCAAAAAATTTAGAATATTTAGAATCAAGGTTCAAGAATATCAAATTTTCCAAGATTGTAAAATTCTAGTTAATTATTTTATGTGTACAGTTATTTAGGGAATGTCATCGATGTTCATTTCCAAGCCAACTAGACGCCGATTTTTTTCGATGATACGGTATAATTCTTACGTAAAATGTAAATAACATTAGACCAATTAAAACAAAGAAATATGAATTTCTTAGTATATTTTTAGTAACACCTTTATTCTTAAAACTTAATTTTGTATTGCAAATATACCAATTTTATTGTTATTTTATTCATATTGTATTCAGCCATCACTTAAATATTTTATATTAATTTGGTATTATAAATAATCAACACTATTCAGTAAAATTACTGAACAAATATATGTTATGCTTTACATACGTTATATTATCAAACAAAAACACATTCTTCTTTTAAACTTTATCATTCTTGTCTTTACAAAAATCTTTTTTAATTTTGAACTCAAAATAATAATATTTTTCATGATCTTTAATACACATATTCTTTATTTTTCCCTAGATCATAATACCTACTTACGTGTTTATCTTACATGTTTGAATCTATCGAAGCTGAACCAACAACACTTGGATATTCCACAATATGAATAAAATAAACATAATTGTCCAGTTTTCTTTAATACCATCCTGGGAGAATATTATTTTTAAATTTATTAAAGATATTTTCAATAGAATTGTCTTGATTTATAACTCGTACCCACTTTTCTTGCTCTTCCGGATATTTTAAGCTGCCTAGTATAACTATCCTTTCCACCAGGAACACAACAAAGATGAGCCAAAGCACCAAAAACACACTCCACTTAAGCTTTATTGATGAATTGTTAGAGTCTTAAAAAACACACACAAAAATCACGATAAATAAAAAATTTATGGGCACTTTTAGGTTAAAGCACTTAACAAAACGTGTAATATTTCGTGTTTTTTATGAGAAACAGAGTGACCATCATAGCGACCATATATCTGGTAGTACTTTATGTCACTTAAACACCAAAATAATTAGTTTTTTGCACTACAATAACAAATAATACTAAAAATCAACCGACCAAATATGAATACAGAATCTAACCCAATATCTAAGTATGTACAGCTGATGAAGTAAACAAAAGTCCGCCCGTAGGCTGATCTTTTAATAGAAGGCACTGGTCCAATGATTTGGTCACCATCGATTGTCAGATGTCACATGTATACAAATTTTTGATGTGGTTAATTCAAATTGTTTAAAAATTAAATAATGAGATTTTAAAAACTTTGAAAATATATACTTATATACTTTATATTATGGATCCCTCTACGTCCTATTTTGCTTATAGTATTCAGGAAATATTTAATCAAAATAATTTTAATGAACTAAATAATAGCCTGAAATGTTATTATAAAACTTATCTACTAAATAAGGAAGAGTAAGTAATTAATTTTGCATTAATTTTTAGATCATATACTTAAAAATTATAATACATTTTTTTTAGTTTTATTATTTCATCTGAAGACGTTGATTGTTTATTAAATATTGTCACATATATTAACACAAGATTTGGGTGGTACAATAATTTGGAAGTGCCTTTTCCTCAAGTCCTCACAGAAACAATAAAGATTTTAAGAGTGTTTGTTACCAAAAAGTGGATTGCACAATATGTGATAGAAAATGCAAAATTTTTTAGCGTTTTTAGTTTTTTAATGACTTGTGTGTTTACAAAGAAGAATGGACAAGAACTATACACTAAATATTTATTACAAATGATAGTAAACTTATTATGTATTGGTAAAGAAAGTGACTGTGGGGAATTTCATTCAAAAGTATTTATCAATTTTTCTTATCAGTTAAATAATTTCTTTCGTGAATGTTATGGCTTTTCATATGAAATTAGTGCTGTTATTTACAATCTGTTTTTAAATAAAGAAATCAGAGATTTAAAATTAATTAATTCAGTGATAGAAAATTATGGAAATTGCACTACTAGCAATGAATACTTAGATTTTCTGTTGAACCAAATATGTTGCCAAAACTTTATATGGGCCTCTTATGAAACTCTTCCACTGAAATCAAGACTGATTCTGTTAAACTATTTGAATGAACTTTTGGTTTCAACTAATGCCAATCTTAAACAAAAATTATCAAATTCTTCACTTGAGAGGTTGTTACAAGTTTTTAACGATTCTTCAAATGTAGTTTTTCAAGTGAGTCAAGCAGGTTGTGCAGAATCATCACAAGAAGTTTCGTATGTCTTGCAGTTAATATCAGTACTTTCTGCCAATGAAAACTACATAAACATATTACAAAGTAATGTTGCTATGTTTATAAATGCTGGAGTATTATTAGTTAATATACATAGACTGGGAAAATCATCAGAAAATGTCTTTAAACCCATACAAAAATTGTCTGAAATTAATAATCCAAGCCAGGAAATATGGAATAATCCTGTGTATGGATTTAAAGCTTCATTGATAAGGTTGATTGGAAATTTATGTTGGAAAAATAAAAGACTACAAGATTTGGTAATTTTTTTATTTATTACATATATTTTATTAATACCTAGATATTTTTGTTTAAATAATAATAATTAATTTTTTAAATAATAATTTTTGTACAAATAATTTCTTCAGTCCAATTTTGTAGCTTGACTTTAACAGTTCACAAAAAACTTACCTTATATTTTTTTTTTGTATTTATACAGGGCTATAAGTGACTTGTTAAATTTGGTAATTTTTTTATTTATTACACATATATTTTATTAATACCTAGATATTTTGTTTAAATAATAATAATTAATTTTTTAAATAATAATTTTTGTACAAATAATTTCTTCAGTCCAATTTTGTAGCTTGACTTTAACAGTTCACAAAAAACTTACCTTAAATTTTTTTTTCGTATTTATACAGGGCTATAAATGACTTGTTAAAAAAAATATAATGTATTGATATTTTCAATAAAATTTCAATACTTTTGAGTTCCATACTAAAGTATGTGATATCTACAGTCAACCTCCAAAAACTGACAAAAAAGCAATTTACTTTTGATTTAAAATTATGGACATCAACTGAATTGAGATGAAACTTTCTTCTTGAAGTATTGATATTAAGCAGGGTTGTACTGGCCATACAGTCAGAGTGGCGATTGCCTGCCGAGCCCCAGCCTTCGCGGGCCCCCGTATCTTAGGACCTATATGTAAAATAGTTCCATTATTTATTCTTAAATAGAAATGAAAGAGAAAAAAGTGACGGTAATATTCTGAAGTTATCCCGGAAACTTTTTTTTTTGGATTAACAATATTTACATTTGCATTTCATTACGGGTAGTTCCCAGATTTCAAACACTAACAACAAATCAATAGGGAAAAATTCTCTAAATCATAAGGCGAAAATATAGGCAAAAAATCCACCTGGGCCCCTCTGGACCAGTCTGACCCTGATATTAAGTATTTCTATATTCTATTAAATGCTAAAGTCCTGCTAAGAAAATCTATCATTATATAGAGCATAATTCATCATTAATATATCCATATCAGTTTTTGAAAATTATATAGCAATGGTCATTTTTTGTATGTTTTACAGTATAGGCTGTTCCTTAAAGACAAGCTAATATTTTTAAGGGGGCGATTCTTGGACCTATTTTAAGAAAATACTTCATATGAATGCATGTCCTAAACATCTTAACATTTGCTATAACAGGGTGGGGAAAATTTCAATGTTTTTCTCATAATTCTAATATTGTTATAGATCTTTATGAAATTTGATACAAGTCTTGAACTTTTTGATGTAAAAGAAAAAAATTAGTTGTAATTTATAATTTCCATCCAGCCGATGCAGAAACAGTCACCTTCACCAAATCAGATTTGGCAATTTGATTTTGAAGTAAAATGACAAATGACTACAAATGACTTAATTTTTTTAAATAAAAACTTGATAAAAACTATGCGTCCGACAAAAAATCAAGAGATGAAAATTGTTTAGAAACTAAAGAGATTTTGAAAATAATGTTTATATGTTTAGATCATATACATTCATATGAATGGTTTTTCTTAGAATAAGTACAAGAATCACCCCCTTAAATATTAGCATGCCATTAAGGAACACGTCAAAGGGAACACGCACTGATGTATATTACTACAATGAGTTGTCAAGAAATTACCTGTTCACATACAGGTACAGGGTGTTCCTTAATGACATGCTAATATTTAAAGGGGTGATTCTTGGACCTATTCTAAGAGAAAAACTTCATATGAATATTTGTCCTAAACATAAAATCATCTTAACTTTTCAGATACAGGGTGGTAAAATTTTCTAAAAAAAATGTTTTTTTATAATAACTCTGATTTTATTATAGATGTCTTTATGAAACTTGATACAGGTTGTCTATGTCTCAAAGTACTTTTTTTGGTGTACAAAGAATTTTATTATTTCAACAAGTGCCGTTCACACGGGTTTTAAATTAAATATTTTTGGAGAAAAAAGTGGTACACCACTGACTTCTCTTAAAATAAAAATTATTTTCAAAATCTTCATTCATTTCTAAACATTTTTTATCTCTCGATTTTTATTCGTCCGACGCATAGTTTTTGCTAAAAAAATTAAAGTCAGTTTACGCGGTGATTTGTGTGGAAATCATTTATGCATCGGCTGGAAAGAAATAAAACCATTTTTTTGTATATGAAAAAAAGCATTTTAATGCATGGAAGATGTGTATCAAATATAACATCAGATATAATTTGAAAAAATATAGAAAATTGTACCACCCTTTATCTGAAAAGTTAAGATATTTAGATATATATTTTATTATATTGATTCATATGTGGTTTTTTTCTTAGAATAGGTCCAAGAATCACCTCCTTAAATATTAACATGTCATTAAGGAACACCCTGTATATTTATCTACTACTTAATTTTTTTAGGCGCGAACTGCTGAAGTCATTCCTATTTTACTAGACTGTTGTAATATTGATGCAAGAAATCCATGTATCCTTTACCAAATTCTTCACAACTTTAAAAATAGAAAATATATTCTTCTTAACAATGTTTATTCAGTTATCATGCAATGGGTGATTTTAGCAATAAGAAATATTTGCGAAAATAACAAAACTAATCAAGCTATTATCGAAGGTTTGACACAGCAAGGAATGGTACAGTCAGAGATTTTACAAGAGTTGGGTATTAGCAGTAATAACCAAGATAATTTAATTGAGAAATTTGTTAATATAGATCTGAACAGGTCAGATGGAAATAAATAATAATAAATTACTATAAATTATGCATTTATTTCATAGGTTCCTTATATATAGGGTTTCCAAACGTACGGATTTACCGGAACATGTCCGGATTTTTAAAGTGTCCGGAGCGATCCGGCCCGGATTTGAAAAAAGCGTCCGGGAAACTTGACCACAAAAACAATTTAACTTAGTAAAATATTTTTTTCTCAGTTACTTTGTTGAATATTTTAGTCTCTACGATGCTACAGCTCTACTTAACCGACGCATGTTCGAAAGTACCTATTTCTATACTTTGGCGCTCAAATTTTTCGCATTATTTGGCTCCAAAAAATATACAGGGTGTTTCAAAAAACATGTGCCATCTCTCGTAAGGAGATTCCTCACGTAAAAATATGATTTATTTTTCATATCAAAATAAGTAGGTCCGATTCTGCTTTGTTTCGTAGCTACAGGGTGTTAAGGTGTTAAAGTTTTAATATTTTTTCGATTTTTTATAATTTTCATCCAAGTACTTTTAGCGTTTCGAATGAAATTTTGAGGGTAAGGGTTACTACAAGTGCTACATATTTTAATGCTAAAAAAGTGTCGATAAATTCATCAGGGGCGTGCATATGGGTTATCACTGGAATAATTTTCAAAAAAAAAGCATGTGCGCCACTGATTTTTTTCTTTTCATATTAGAATTATGTAGGCCGTTTAATGCCAATTAAAAGTTATCTCTTGGTATTTTGTTGAATTCGGCCTCCTTGATGAGAAAAACGCAATTATATTAATCACAATAATTAATAAAATTAATAAATTATATATTTTACCTAATTTATTATTAAATATTATTATTACTAGTTACTATTTTACTATTAATCCACCCTACAGCAATTTCAAATAAAAAAAATAATGATATTTAAGATAATTACAAAAAAACTAATTTTAAAAAATTTTAACATATCCTGTAACTCTAAAACTATGCATTTCCATACCCATGTTTATAGGAACTTTTTTTCATATTTTTTGATTAGAAATCAATAAGTACTTATTTAGAACTTTCACAAGTTAATGATATTAAATTTTTTAAAGGTTGCTATTAGACTTGGCTCAAGGCAAATTAATAAAATTGCGTTTATTTCATCAAGGAGGCCGAAATCGACAAAATATCAAGTTCGACGCATAGATAAATGAAACAAGTTTAGATTGGAAAGTGCCAATAAGGACAATGTAAACACTATTTGGCGCTATTCTTGCAACGGTCGCGACCCAAAACTTTTGAAAATTTTGGAGCGGTTCGGCTTTTTTCGGAATTATATCGCCAAATATTGTTTATTCAAATTTATTATTATTTTCGTTTAATTTTATAAATAAAATACAGTGTGTTGCATACAAGAAACTTTATTTTATATAAGGACGCATGTATGAAATACCTATGAAACATTGGAAACCGACGTTATGCCACGATCCACGATGGTTTTTGCAGTTCACAGTTCACAGCACAGATTTTTAACTATTTAATGCCACTTTTTCACAATTATCACCGGTTGGAGTAAATAAAACTTGAATTAAACTCACAAGATAGCAATAATTACTTTGAAAATGGACGCTATAAACACTTTTCGGAATTTCTTTAATGAAAGCGGTTTAGATTTTGAAAGATTATAATGATCATCATAGATGATCATATTATGATTTTAGAAGATTCTGACATGATTCTGACTTTGACAAGAGAAAATTATTTCTGTTTTTGTTTGCCGTTGTTCTTAGCGACCGCTATAGCAGCGCCAGATCGCATACAGTATATCTGCTGGATCTGTGTCTATGAAAGGAATGCGGACAAAAAACATTTAAATAAACAGCAATATATTTTATACGTCGATTTGACGAGTGCGTCACCGCAAATTGCTCCGCCCACTCATTTTATTGGCTACTTGCAAATTTGTTGAATTTTTATTGATGGGGCGCGTCGTCTTTTTTTTACGAAAAACATCGAGAGAATATCGTTTCCCCTCTCACGGATACCCCGTAGCTACAGAACGGACAGACGTACTGTATAACGGTCGCGACCCAAAATAATTTCGCGACCTAAAATTTTTACGAGCTTTCCAATCTAAACTTGTTGCATTTATCTATGGTTCGACGACATTAAACTGCTTACACTATTTCGCTAACAAGAGAAAAAAGTCAGTGGCATATATACATGTTTTTTTTAGAAAAATATTCCAGTGATAACCCATATGCACGTCACATAAATTTTACCCTCAAAATTTCATTCGAAACGCTAAAAGTACCTACTTGGACGAAAATTATAATAAATCGAAAAAATACGCTACATAAGCTACGAAACAAAGCAGAATCGGACCTATGTTGATATGAAAAATAAATCTTATTTTGTATGTAATAACTTTAAAGGATCTTTCCCTTTTATTTGAGCAACCATATTTTCTGTTGATTTATAATTAATTCATAAAACATCTATTTTTCTAAAGACTTTTTAAAAACATGGCAAGATTGACATAACTGAAAATGTATTTTTGAATAAAATAAATTATTGTAACTTGTGTTTCTGTGCACAGATGTGTGTAGTGTTCTGAATTTTTTAAACTCTGAATATTTTGGATTGATAAATTGATTCAATATTCAGGCGGCTGATTTAAATTGATTTTGAAATATTTTTTCTCGATACACTTATGTATATCGTCGCTTAAAAGTCATAATTAAAGGTAATAAAAATAAAAAAAAACAGATATTTTTATAGAAGGTTGCTGTGACTAAATATAAAATATAACTTTTTGTAGAGACAAGAACTCGGATTATAACAAATATTTTATTTACCATTAATATAAAAACATCAATTTAGATATAACAAATATTTTATTGCATTAATAAATTTGTATAACATAATTTATATACAGGAAATATATAATAAAAATATTGTTAATCTGTTGGCGGCCACATTAAACTAACTTCTTGATGTGCTGACTCAGGAACCCATTTCAAATATTCATAAAGTAAATATTGACGATCTTCCATCCAAATTTTCATCAAATTCGATCGTCTAGCAATATTTTTGGCTAATAGTGCTTTGAATAATAATTCTGATCTTGGTTGTAATCTAGCCCATGTTTTCACCATAATACTTGGCTGACTTAATAAATCCTTGGAATATTTTTCGAGTTTCTTAAACACTTTCCCTTCTAATAGGTACTTTGCAAACCACTTTATGCAGTCTACATTATGTGGATGAGGTATTTTTACTTCTGGTAGAGTCCACGCCTGTGTTCCAAACGTACCTCTTACGGTGCAATAAATGCTTCCCTCTTTTTCATTGTAGAAAGGCGGAGGATCTAAAAGAGGTTCTGATAAATTACAAAGCTCAGGAACAAATGTTGGAAGCCATTCAGGATCTATAGCAGATACTCCTCGCATGTAAATTTTATCGGTTTCATAAATTTCTTGGAAAATCACAAATTCTGGCAACGTTTTTTTAAGAACAGAGTTTTGATGCAAAAATACAAAATCCTCCATACTATTTGCTTTATAAGCATATTTATATTTTGCTTTTTCTTTGAACTGATTTGCCTCTTCCAGTGAAACTTTTTTAGCTATTTGATCTCCTAAACCAGCTAATAATATTTGACGAAGCAATTTAGCTTGTATATCATTAAATGGTTCCATTTTCGGGTCCACTATTATATCAAGGGCTGGAATATTTTTATTTATCTCTAAAGTTAGTTGTAATCGTAATTTTCTAATATCTGTTACTGCATTGAATCTTAATCCGTTTATTTGACAAAATTCTTTCAGTTTTCCCTGGCTATTGGCATATTCAGCTGCTCCTATAGCTCGTAATAGAACACCATTATCGCCAAGTAACAATGAATTACCGGTACCCGCCCATTCTCGTCTTAATGATGCCCATTTTTGTCTTAATTGCTTCTTTTCTTCAGATGATCCACTCCAAGGTGTTTCTAAAAATACTTCTTGTACAGACAGAGCAGCTACCAAACATATAGTGTGAGAGAACAGATCATGTTGATTACTTAAAGCCAACATTTTTCCAAATCGTGGTAATACAGGAAATTTAGAAATTGATTGACCTAAAGATGTAACTTCATTATTTCTTAAGGCACCTAAAATTTCTAATCTGCTTTCTGCAGCTTTTAACTGTAATAAATCAGGAGCAGTTGGAAATGGAAAATTAGTAACTTTATCTATGTTCATGCATTTCATTTGTAAATAAAGATCATCTACAGGCCTTTTCTGAATTTCTGGAGTAGCAAAGTCTTCAAACTCATTATTGAAGACTGCGCTAGAATACAAGCGGTAACAGTGGCCTGGACATGTGCGTCCAGCTCTGCCCGCTCTCTGGTTGGCTGAAGCTTTACTAGTCCAGCGAACAACATAGCTTGTTAAACCAGTGACTTTATCATACAGCTTAATCTTTGCTCGACCAGAATCAACAACATATTTTATATTAGGAATAGTCAATGATGTTTCAGCAATATTGGTGCTAATAATGCATAATCTATAACCAATTGGAGGTGGCTTGAAAACTTGTTGTTGCTTTTGTGAAGGTAACAGGGAATAAAGGGGTAATACCCATAAAGGTTGAGCATTATGATACACAGAACTATTTCCTATTAAGTCTTCTTCATCAGAGAACAGTTCATCTTCCTCTCCAGAATTACTTTCATTGTCATTAGGTATACTGTAGTCATCTAGATTTATATGAGTTTGATTATTATTTCTCTTCTTATTTGTGCCTTTTGAGTTTTTATCGAAATCATTTGGATAATTATTGTAATCTGCATTCGGCTCTATTCTTTCTTTCTCTGCTATTAGTTTATCTTTCATATTTAAAGGAAATGTTATTCTTAATTTCTTAACTAGTAAATTTACTTCATGTTGACCAGTTAGAAAAACCAGTATTCCACCTTCTGGTAGTTTGGAATGAATTTTTATTACTTTACTGTAAGCCTCCTTTAAATAATTCTCAACAGTTCTTTTATTAAAATGTGTAGTAACTGGAAATTGTCTGCTTTCCACATTTATAACTGGCGGTGCAACTTTAAACAATCTCTGATTTTCTGTAAAGTCACTAACACGTAATGTTGCAGACATAATAATGAGTTTCAAGGGATCACCTTTTTTCTTCCTTAATGGTACTATCCGAGACAACAATCCTATTAAAATATCAGTATAGACAGTTCTTTCATGAGCTTCATCTAGAATAATAACAGAATATTTAGTTAGCAAGAAATCAGAATGTATTTCTTTTAAAAGTACTCCATCAGTCACAAATTTTATTTTGGTTTCCTCAGTTACATTTCCTTCGAATCTTATTAAGTATGAAACTATTTGTGTACTTAAATTCATTTCCTCTGCAACTCTTTGAGACATAGAAATTGCTGCAACTCTTCTAGGTTCTGTTATACAAATTTGTTTCTTTAAAGCATATCCAGCTTCATATAGAAATTGTGGTACTTGTGTTGTCTTACCACTTCCAGTTTCACCTGCTATAATTATAATTTCGTTTTCGTTAATAACCTCTATAATATATTGCTCTTCAGCTAAAATTGGTAATTTCAACCTAGCTTCTTGTATTTCATCATCTCTAATTACATCAACATAAACTGTGGGCTGCCTTTGAATATTCTTTATTTCTTTTGTATTTAACTTAGTTTCAGTACTACTTACAATACCATTAATAGTTTTGTTGCATGATTTACTGGATGCTGTTACTACTTGAACATTGCTCTCTTCCATTTTATACATATTGCTGTTCTTATTAGGTTCTACTACATCACCTTGGCTAATTGCAGGACCATATTTACTTGCTTCTTTTTCCTCATCAGTACTATCAGACATTTCATCACTATCCGCATTCAAACCAACAACATTTGGCGTGCTTGTGATATTTTTAATGTCGTTAACATTATTATGACATAACTTTCTATGTTTTGTATTTGAAATACTATTAATCTTTTTACCCGGAATTGAAGAAAAATCTGTATTAGGTTCCTGTGATTTCAAACTAGATTTATTTTGAGAAAGCCTTTTTAAACCAGAAGTTTGAACTGATATAATTGAAGTAAATTGGGATAATTCTTCTGAATCTATTTGAACTTGTTGTAAAGACTGCAATAAAGCGGATCTATTAGCTTTTTTCTTCTTCCTCTCAACAATTTTCTCTAATTGCTTACGGTGTTTGTTTGATAATAATTTCACCTTCGATTTATCTTGTTTAATTTTCACCTTCCTCTTATGAGATGGTAGGACTAATTTATTACATGTATCATAATAGCCTTCTGCGTCAAAATCCAGTTTTATCGTATTTACATCTGAATTATCTATAACTGTTTGAACAACACGTCTTGCCTTCCAATTATATTTTGCTTTTCCCATTATAAATAATAAAAAAAACAATTAAATTATACAGTTTAAACAAAAGTTTTTTGGTGAATGCATGGTACAAAGCAAGAAAAGCAAGTACAAAGCATCATGCAAAGCACAAAACACATACCCAAGAGTACAAAGGTTATAGTATATTAGTTTAATGGCCACAGCTGCCAGGGCTATCCGGCTGGATGGTAGAATTAACTACAGTGTTTTTTTTAAATTAAAGGCCTAAGCTATTAGGATTATCCGGCCTGTTAGTAGTGGTATATTTTAATGGCCACAGCTGCCAAGGTTATCCGGCGTATTAATAGAATAATTAACAGGCCCGGTTGTACAAACGGAGTTAATCCCTGGTTAATTCTGAGTTCACGATGATCTTAGGATCAACGGGTAAAAGACGTTGTACGTTATGGCACAAAATAGAAATCAACCAGAACGCCGACTCTGCCGAATTTGATGACGTTTCACGAATCGCGACGCCATATTAGCAGCGGGTAACTCTCAGGGCCGGATTAAAACGCTTTCGCAGGCTGTTGTCAGAGTTATATTGAATAAGGTATTTTTATTAATCTGAAAGATAGTGAATTACTCAGACTGAGCGTAATACGTTATTTCGAAAGGTAAAGTTTGTATAGATAACTCAATGGACTCGACGCTACGAACAGCTGCTGTCTTCTACGATAGTCAGAATTCAACTAAATCCTGACCTGCCCTGACTAAACCGATAACGCCCATAAAATAATTAACTAGAAAGAAGTGTCAACTCTGTGTTAAATCGTGGAAACACGATACGCCACCGAAAGCCTTCGTTGTCGTCTGGAGAACTAATTTTCCAATTGACAGGTTGACATGATAAGGACATGATAGCTTTAATTTTCATTTCGTTTCCGGTTATTCAATAGCGGGTCACTCTTTCGTTCAAATGTATTTTTGTATTTTTACTTTTCATAAATAAAACCAAAAATTATTTATTCACATATATTTATTTTGAAATATGGAACAACGTGACTAAATAAATATAAAAATATAGAGAGAAAGATTGTATTGTTTCAATACCAATTAGTTAATTATATGTACTTTTAACGTAAATTAGTTAAGTTATAAGCATGACTTACAGTAATTTGTGAATAAACACACGTATTCGCTGACTTCAAGGACAGAAAACGGACACAGGAACATGAAAGCGGGAGCCTTATACAAAACCTGAAAACAGAAAAACAATTTTTTTATACTAAAATTAACAATGTAAAAATATCAATAGGTATAAAATATAAATATACTGTTTAAAAAAGCGTCCATTATTCCAAAGAGAGGCCTGGCTTATAAATCAAAAGAAGCAAAAAGAGACTTTTTAGTCGGATAACATAATCAGATTATCAGTCCGATTTATTGCATTATTGACAATAAATCGCACGTACTGGAAATAACTAATGTTGGCTATAGTTAAAATGATCTTACCTTGCTGTAATTGCTTCCATTTTTCAAGAAATCGCCGATCAAAGATATTATAATACCATATTCTTGCATCTAAAAATGTAAAAACAGTGTTTATTTACTACCTATTTTCATATACATGGGACATACCTACTACTGCAGAAACGTCGTTTTCTCCAGGATTCTTCATAATATATATTTTATATACTTTATTACCATTATATTTATAAATTTCAGCCGAAATATTAAATTGAACTTCAAAAACGAAACTAAACGGTATGAATTAAAATGGCGTCGAATATTTTTCAATTTGTTCTAGAACAAATCTGAAGTTGTCTCTGAAACTGAAATCTATCAATTCTAAACTGAGGATTAAAACAATAGTTAAGAACAAAAAGCAATGCTGTCCTTGTCTAGGCGGTCATACTTGTCGTGAGGAGAATGACAGGAATGACACTAATGACTGTTTCCAATTTTCCTATTTCACTGTCACCCCCCTGATAACGCCGCTACATTGACAGATGTTACCCGCTCATAATGGAATTTTTAGGTTAGCCACCGTTTCGCGCGCATTTTGGGAGTCAACCTTCTGGTTGATTTCTATTTTGTGGTTATGGGTTCAGGTCATTGCCTGGAAACTTATATCGTGAAATTTTGATAAAACAATTTAGTACTCACTAAAAACACAGTACGTCGCTAGTGGTAGGAAAAATAATTTTTAGAGGTTACTAGTTTATTTGGTTGCCTGTGATATGCATATACAGGGCGTTTCCTAATTAATCTAAAAACTAAAAATCGTTAGAAAATGAATTAAGGCGGGCTCTTAATAAGTATGTTGTTATTTTTTCTCGGCAACCGTTTGATGAACAAGAGAAAAACTCAAAAGATCAATTTTATTTGAAAAAGGATGTGATCCAAGAAAAAAATATATTTTCTTTAAAAAAGCAGTAGTGTACCTTTATGTTAAAGCAAAATATCGATTTTTTTTAATTTTTAACACCCTGTAGATCAGAAAGGGAGTACTTTGGAGCCAATGGTTATATAAAATTGTTTTAAGAAGACATGAGGAATCACACCACAATTTTTTAGACTAATTAGAAAAACCCTGTATATTGTCTGTGACAATGATTGTTGATACATCCAAAAATACCTTTTCTGTGAAAAAAGCCCGATTTCGCAGGAAAAATTTTTAGTTTTATTGAATTTGGGCCTGCGTCTGCAAATACCGGTATGTGTTTTAATATTCTATCTATCTAAATTTTAAATATCATAGTCAGAAATAGTTTATTATTTATTAACTGTAAAAATGGTATACTTATAAGTTTTGTCAAATATTGTGATTTACTTTCTACCTTGTAGTCAAAAATTTATATTTAATAAACTGTAAAATATATATTCTTATGTTTTATTAAAGTTACTCTGATATACTAATATATCAGTGTAACTGTAAACCTATCCTTATAAATCAAATATATAAACATAAAAAATATTTGTAAGAAAAGGCCCAGAGGCGCTGGGTTAAACGTAGTCTCTACTAAGAACACGGAGGGGCGCTTTGACCGAAAATTTTACTATTAAGTTTCATATCTATCTTAATAGAAGATTATTTTCTTTTATCTATGGTTCAGGTGCTGATCGACGATTGATCTTGAAAGACGACACTAAAACTCACGAAAACCTCGGAAGCATTCGGATCCTACACGGAGAGTTCGGTTTTGTTCGGCGAGAAGCGCGTTGCGGGAATTTTGAACATTATGAATAATCGAGAATCGAACAATAATCACAGACAATAATTTTATTATGCGAAATTGATAACAGTAGTTGACTGTTTTGGTTGTTATTTGTTTTTATAATAAGCTATATTTAAAAAACTGATCTGCATTCATATATTTATTTTTAAAACATACAAATACCATTAAAGTTACAAGATGTAATTTGTCATTATTTTGCTCATTTTAAAGAAGAAAGGTGGTTAATGTTTATGGCTGATATTTGGTAATATACCTATATTGCCTACATCAAGTTATTTTAGTCAAAGTTGCATTGATTATTGGTGTAAATTAAAAATTGTTTCATTGCAGATTGCATGATCACTATCTAATTTGATGCATAAGTGAGAACCATAGCTTTACATGGAGAGAGCTCATTATTCTCAAATTCTACTCAGAATCTTTATTAAAATATCAGTTCTTAAATTGAATAACATTTTCATGGGGAAAATAAACGTTTTAGGAGAAAATTTGTTAGCTTAATTACTGTAACATATTAGAAATAAAAACAAATTTATAATAGTTCTAATTTTAGAATGTTGCAGTTTCGATTACGGCCTATAAGAAGAAACTGCAAGAAACTTATGGCTGTTCTATGTCAAGAAAATACAATAATTACAACAATACAATACAATAATTTTAACAACTAAATAATACCACATTGTACAGGTTAGTAGTAAGTAGTACAAAATAAATATAAAACTTATAACCAACAGTCAATACATATTTACTTAAATAAAACCAAAAACAAAATAAATAAAGCCTTAAACAAATAATCTCTTTCACTTTGTTGGGAATAATTCTTGCTTAACCATTTTCCTTTTATGGCTCATTATATGGTCTTTTTATTGAACTACTGGCCTTCTCTGTTCATTTAGAACAATAATTGCTGATGTGTCCTAAAAATAAAGACTATTTGTAGTGTTTTTTTTCATTTCTATATTTACCTACCTGGCTGATTTACTACGATTACGATAATAATTGTAAGTTTTTTCCACATAGTCATTATATTTTCTTGGCTTGGCGAATGCATAATTTATCTTGATCTTCTGTTTTTCATACCACAGTTTATAACTTTCCTTTGTAGCAAAGTTATGTGTTTCCATTTCAATTTTTACTTCATGGTGTTTATCTTCAAATATTGTTGCAATATACTGCAACTTCACAAACTATACAGACTACCATATTTAGAGTACACAGTGGGCAAATAATACGCTTCTTCTTGTCTAGTTTTTTACAAAATTAAGTGAAACAACACAAATTCATAATCCAGTCGAATTAATTATCAAAGTTAAAGTATGAATCGCTGGATCCCCAAAACGCATTCATAAATTGTAAATCTTCTTTAAATGCTTCTAGTATTTTTTGTATTGTTTAAAAATACAGGAATGCTGTTGAGTTTTTAACTTTGTTTTTAAATGGGGCCACTATTTACTATGATATTTATAAAGTGCTTGTTTACAAGTCCAAGTAGCGGCAAAAGTTCAGCTGAGTTTGGTGTGGGCCATGATTTGCGCGGTTCAGCTTCCAAGTATTTTGTCCTTAGAGAAGGAAAGAGAGACTCTCTTTCCTTGTCTAGGGTATCGTGAGTTTTAAAGCCCCGTTCTCAGAACTGCGCGTCGTGTCGACAGCGACACTGATTGACACTTCAAACGACCAATGGGAGCTGTACTAAATTTAAAATTGACAGTTGTTTGAATTTTATTCGTCTCGTCGAATTGCTTTTGAAGTGTCGCTGGCGACAGGTCGCAGTTCTGAGAACGGGACTTAAGCCCCGTTCTCAGAACTGCGTCTTGTCGACAGCGACACTGATTGACACTTCAAACGACCAATGGGAGCTGTACTAAATTTAAAATTGACAGCTGTTTGAATTTTGTACAAATCTGATTGGTTTTTTTGTCGTGTCGCGGGCGACACAGATTGACATTTCAAAC